ACGTTCGACATATCAAAGAATTTTCAAACCTTGAACGTCTTCAAACAACATTCAAATGTTCAAAGTTTCATACTAGCTTCAAATGTTCACCGTTTGAAACAAAGTTTTAAATAACGTTCAACGTTTGAAACATTACTCAGCGTTTCAAACAAACTTCAAACTATAAATGCCACTAACAAATATCATATAATTCAACGGTTCACACTAGCTACAAATGCCCATCATTTCAAACAGCATCCAAGCAGTCCAACATTCAAACACCATTCAACGTTTCAAACAACATCCACCGTTTCAAACAATCTTCAGCGTCTCTAAGAAACAAATATTCAACGTTTCACACTAGCTTTAAGCTTTCGACATTTTAAACAACATTCAATGGCCACAAGTAGATTTTACGAAAATTCTAATCGCCGGGCGGTTTGCAAATTCTGAAATGTCTCCAAATAGACAATCAAAAATATCTACTCCCGTCGCGCGATTCTTGAAATGTCTGCGAATAGACTGTCAAATAATACCAAATCCCACCTAGTCATCGAGCGGGTCACGGATTTTGAAATGTCCCTAATTAAACGTTCAACACTGCCCACTCAAATCATCAAGCGACTTCTGTAATGTCACCAATGAAACTTTCGAAACTGCCAACGCCCGCCCAATCATGACGTAGCTCGCTACGCCTAAAATGTCTCCAAAAAGAGATTTTTTTTAACTTGGCCAATAACTACTCAGCCGAAGAGAGCAAAATTTTCTTTTCAGACAAACGTCCTGAGTTAATGGCGGCACACAATAACCGTGGATTATAAAAAAAAATACTCTTCAGAGATCTGATGAAAAGATTTTTTACGGCTTAACAACACTTTGCAGGTTATTTAAACCTAGAAAATATTTTTTTAGATTGTAAGAATTTTTGCTTTTTAGATAATAATAGTTTAGTGATAAAGGTCTCACTAATTAACCCATAGCTTGGAGGAAAATTAGATTCATACCTTTTCCAAGTGTATATAACGAACAAAACGGGGATTAGAACTCGTCACTTCAATGAACAATTCCGAGCCATTATCCATTAAACCACCCACACATCCATGCTTGCGTTCACCCATGTATTTACTAGGCTTGGCATTGCTTAACTTCTATGATCGTAAAGGAACCAGTGATGAAAAGTTTCTGAGAGAGAGAGAGAGAGAGTGCGGATGTCAAAGTTGTTAAGCTTAGAAAAATATTTGCTTTATTTCTTAATCGAATATTGATAATCTGCGGAAATGTCTTAAGGACTTAACCTTCTTTTCATCAGTAGATTAATAGCTTGATACAATGAGAATGAGATAGATGTTTTGAAAATGCTGAGAATTAACTTTGAAATCAAAATATTAGCACAACTGGCTATGACACTTCTGTTCCTTCCTTAAGGATATTGTTCTCAAGATGGAATTTACGACCATATCGTAGAAAAGAAATGAGGGATGAGCTTATAATTTGGTCAGATTATCAACGCTTCCCTCTCATTAAGTCCACACAGAATTCCTTGCTAACTCATTTTTCATTTGTAATTTTTATGCTAACAGTTTATTCTCTCCCACTTCTCACTTGTGGAACTCACTACCGGCTTTTTGCTTCCCAGCCAACTTTCATCTTTAAAAAATTTAAATGCAACGTCAATCGTTATCTTCTGTCTTTTTAATTCTTGTTCTTTAATTTATCTCTCTCCTTAATGTTTTTTTTCCTCTCATATTGTCTAACTCATTAGCATCTTGAATATAAGTAGCTTTATTACCTTGCTCCAGGGATAATTATTTAAAAAAACAATGAAAAACAAAATATTGCTTATCTGTTTCTTTGGAGAAAACGTTACATTTTTAGAAACATTTTTTTCAGTTTTATAAAGATTTACAATAAAACTGATGTTCACATCTCACACTTAACACACTTTCTGGATCAAATAAGCATATTTTCTATAGTTTAACATAAGGCCGGAATTTTAGAGCGCTCAGCGGGGCCGAATATACAGTTGTGAATCTAGCTTGTTAAATATGGCTCTGAAAGGAAATAATTTAGGTAGTTGTTAAGATTGGTTACGACTGTTTTAAGAAGTTCACCCGAGTTGGTTATGTGCTGAGTAACCATATCATTTGTAATGACTGATGCGATTAACTTACTATTATCACACAACGGGGTGGTAACGCCAAAATTTCATATATATATATATATATATATATATATATATATATATATATATATATATATATAAAAAAAAAAAATCGTCAAAAAAAAATCGCACATAGTACAGGTTTTGAAGCCCAAAGAAAAAACCCGACACGCGTAAACAACTAACTAACAAAAGAGCTCAATACAACCGTAGAGCAGACCTAGATACACCTAGTGAGCTAGACAAACCATTTCCAGGTTTCACCTAAACGGATCGTCAAGGATAGCTGGCTTCCCTGACGATCCGCTTAGGTGAAACCTAGGCAAAGGTTTGTCACAACTCACTAGGTCTCTCTCTCTCTATATATATATATATATATATATATATATATATATATATATATGTATGTATGCATGTGTGTGTGTGTTTGTGTAGTGTAGTGCAGTGTTATGTTACTGTATTTTTATTTAATTAACATTGCAACTAGTAACCAGTAACTAAAGACTATACGATAAAATCGAGCCCACGAAATCATCCACGTAGTCTTATATTGAACTGATCGTCAGTTGTTTAAAATTGAAGCCATAACGGATTATATCTCGTGATCAACTTTAACGAGAAGCTTTTAGTGATGCGCATGATGACCATATTTTTAATTCAATTTAAAACTGGTAACATTACATAATATGTGGCGCTATCCTCAGCTTGCTGAGCACTGAATTGAACAAAATCGCCAACCTGTATCAAATTGAACACATTTAAATGAACTGTTTAGAAAGTTCTATATTTATGAAGTAAGAGTGATCCGTATCGACGAGAGGGTGTATGTAACTATAAACATGCCAAAATTATATATATATATATATATATATATATATATATATATATATATATATATGTATGTGTGTGTAAACAGTCTAATAACCAATTAAGACGTGAAACTACCATTCACTATGCAGTGTTGATTTCCATGTCCACATTTTCACACCTGAATCGGTCATTAGTCTTTTTAGACATTCATAAACGCACACACATATACTTATTTTTACATCTGTATATATATATATATATATATATATATATATATATATATATATATATATATATATATATATATATACATACAAATATATATTTAAGATAATATATATATATATATATATGATAAAAAATTATAAATTTAAAAATATGCTATATTTATAGGTAAAATTGATAAGAAACATCGAGCACTTACGTAAATACAAAGTGGAGACTAAACTCAAAACCGAATGGTCATAAACAGTTTCATGCTGAAATAAAATCTTCAGGCCATGTGCGTTGTGTTTTTTGTCTTGACTATTTATATATGCTTGCCAACGTTGCCTTATGGAGAGCAGTGTTTTTTGCCTTATCTTAAAGTTTATTGTCTAAGAGGCAACGGTAATGATTCTAATTATCCTCGATGTTATTGAATAAGAATAACTGTGGCTGTGAATGCCGTTATTCGTAGCTTCTTTGTGATGCTGTTTTTTTTTTTTTATTTTTATACTCATTATTTATTATTGCCTAACTATTTATTGTTGATTATTATAACATTTAGTAGTTTGTTAATTTGTTTATTATTTGCCTAATTTATTTAATTTTTTTTCAAAGAATGGTTAATTTAAAGTAGTGATTTTGTCCAATTATCTACGTTTATATAGTGTATATATTTGCATTTTTCATGATGTTATTTTACAAGGGATTCGTTTTTAATTTTCCATTTTATGTTTTCTTGTCTACATTTTGAGATAAATACTTATCGCTTATTTAGTAATTTGTGCCAATGAGATTATAGTTTTTTCTGCATACGTTTAACGTTTTTTGATTTATTGTTGTAGGACAATGCTGTTTTCCTTAATTTCGATGATGGTTTGAGTGCAATTTGTACTTTTTTTGTTTTTAATTTCCCATATATATTTAGGAAGATTTGTGCTTTTTTGCGTATTTTCTATTGGTAAAGGATGTTTTGTGTTCGGAGTTTCCAGAGTCCTTCAGTTTATATATATATATATATATATATATATATATATATATATATATATATATGCGATAACAATATAGGGAAAATTGTATGATAAAATGTAAAAAGTCAACTTGTGATGCGTTTTTGTCCTTCAGGACTTCATCGTACTAAATATGACAAATTTAATCCGATGAAGTCGTTAAGGACGAAACGCAACAAGTAAACTTTTTCCACATTATCATGCATATATATATATATATATATATATATATATATATATATATATATATATATATTATAAATTAATTAATTTAAAATATGTTTTTCCGCTACATAGTTCTAACCATGTTTCAAAAATGGAAGCTAAAGCCACGAATTTAATTTTGCAATTAAATTAAAGACATTAGTTCCATTTCATCCTCAAGCGAATTTAGAAGTAACTTTTAATATATATAATTATATGTTTTAATGTTCTTTCTTTTTATTTAAATATATATATATATATATATATATATATATATATATATATATATATATATATATATGTGTGTGTGTATATATATATATATATATATATATATATATATATATATATAACCTATTTCCAAATCTTTGACATGCTAGTACATTTTGTAGAAAGTATTTCTTAGTCGGGCTGACAACCTTTCAGCTCTTTCTCGTGTATGTGAAACTGAACACGTATATGTACGTGTGACATGTGAAAGCACACTTCATATGTATGTGTGAATACGGAGATCCATGTATAGATCAATTAATTTAACGGGTATGATGCAAGCACATGCTCTCTGTTCACACATGCATTCAGATATATATTTCAGATGTGTAGACTTAATTTAGGCTATTATTCGTCCGATTTTAGTCGTAACGAACAACACCGACATTGTTAACTGTATTTGGAGGGTTGTAACGACTCCTTTTAGACTGTGCTTCGAGTCCTAACATTTTCCGAAATTTACGCCTAAAATTCAGGTTGCACAGTGGATAAAGTACTGGGTTGAGGGTCGAGTTGAGATAGCCAATCCATGTCATGGCTGTGATGAGACCCGGATCTATACAGCCGTCACAGAAGGCTACCACCATGAAGAGAATAAAGTACGGAAGAAAACAGACGGTAAAAGCTCCCATTATGACCCCTAACTGGCGTACGGCTTTGATTTCGCGGGTCAACGAGGCGCTCTGTTTCAAGTTTTTCAACCGGCCCTTAATGTTGGCGGGTGCAAAGTTTGAGCGCCGACCTTTCTCGTCTTTTGGAAGATCGTCGCTCAGGTCACTGTCCCTCCGCAGGGTCGTCGAAGACGCAGGCTGTCTGTGAGGGCGGGAATCGCCTGTTGCTAGTTTATTGGCTGACGCCTTTTTTTGATTACTAGCGCCGTTCGTCGAAGCAAAGCCAGCCAGTGTTCCCTGGCTACTTTTTCTCGGAAACCGTGACTTGCCAGACATGGCCCTAGTTAAGCTCAAACATATACTACTGCCCTCACTGCTACTGTCACAACTTCCGTTACTTGCCGAGCTGTGATGCAAGCATTTCAATTTAACCGAAGGCTCATCCCGTCGTTTTTTAATCTTTGCAGTTCTGTCTGGTGTTTTTGATTTACGAATCTTCTTTGCACTGCCACCAACACCAACCACAGCGGCTATAGTTGCCGCTGCATCAGCTGGGGTTGGACTCCCTGTAGGCAGTGAAGATTTATCTGGTGTCGTCGTAGAAACTTTCAATCGGCCCGACCGTGGTCTTGTGATGAAGGAAGTTTCCCGATAAGCGGCAGGGTTGCTTATAACTTCGGCTTGCCTGCAGCACAACGTCGACTGCTCCTCGTAGTAGTAGCGTTCCACCTTCTCTGTCAGAGGGTCGACGACATTTTCGTCATAGACGTATTCTTGCAGGCGGCGTTCGTAAGGTGGCGCCGTCTCCATCTTGAAATTGACATTGTTACGCCATAATTGCTGGGGTTGGTTTGTCACGACGCAATGTCTAGGGTCTTTTCCCGCCCCACCCAGTGTCTCGTGTGGGGCTCCGGCTGATGAGTCCCGGGGTGTTTTTCCTGTCATGGCGCGTAATGTAATAGCTGAACGAGAACCATCGTTCAGTACTTCGCTCGTCTCCACTAGCGACGTGCGACTGGGCATGGGTATATAACTGCTGTGTCGCGATTTATGGCGGGCTTCTTTTAACTGAATCTGATGGCTGCTATTGCTAACTGTGTTTTTACTTGAGCCGGCTACTCCGTGGTAATTGTGATGGTGATGATTGTTTTGCTTGTGATGGTGAGAATGCTGCTGTTGTTGTTGCTGCTGCTGCTGTGGTTGCTCCTGATGCTGAGGTTGATTGGTCATAACAATCATTCCGCCGCAGGTTCGTTGGCCAAGCTCGAATTTAGAGCGTTTTCGAATCTCTTGAAATATTTTAATGTAGAGGAAAAACATTAGAAATAGGGGCAAATAGAAGTTGAAAAACGCCGTCACGACCTTGAAGGCGGAGTTCTTGGCGTACTCTGTGTCGCAGGTGTCACTTGGGACTGTACGTACGCCACCGTGCACAAACGCGTGCCAACCGGTGATAGGAATGATCCATAAAGACGACAGGAGCCAGACGAACGAAATCATGATCAACGCTCGCTTTTTAGTCCGTTTGCGCATATATTTGAGTGGCGACATGATGGACCAGTAGCGATCAAGGCTGAGAATGAATAAGTTGAGAATGGATGCCGTGCTGGCCAGGTAGTCGATTGCAATCCAGATCTGACAGACAGCCAAGCCAAACAACCAGTCGATGGTGAAGATGTAGGTCGCATTCAGTGGCATTACAATCAGACCAACAATCAAGTCCGCGATCGCTAAACTTACAATGAACATGTTGCTCACCTGGAAAAAAAAGAAGAAAAACATAGAAGCGTTAATTAATGAAGTGAGGGAAAATAGTATTGTTTTTACACAAATACATTCAGACTACTAATACACGTAATCTATAGTATCTACCAAAAATATTGGATGCTGTCAGTGTTCGTGTATAAGTCGAGATGTTGATTTTCAGCGGCAATTTCTCGACATGCTTATTCTAGAAGTGCGAGATTATTGGAATACAATATTTATTGTTCCATTTCTGGAACAAGCTAAATTTACAATCCTCGCACACACACACATCTGCACACATTACACACACATACGAGAGCTGATCAAAAAGTATCGGTACTCGTGCTATAAAAAGAGAATCACAACATGTTATGGTCCAGGTTAGGACCAAGGAAGAACAACACGAACACAAGAATAGAAATAACGAAGGTATATTACACGAAATAATAATACAAGATGTGGAAGGTGTTAGTATGACTGTCAGTCTGGTTTGGAGTTAAATACTATCGGCTCGACTCGATTCGGTATCTAGCCACCGACCTACGAGGGTTGCATGTGGCACAAGGCCGACGGCCAAAAAATGCCTGTAGAAACTGTGAAAACAGAATCGGGTTGGTTAACCTCCCAGAACGAGGCTCTGCCCTTCGGCGGAGCCTCGTCCGGGTTCCTCTCTGCTCAGAGGCAGATAGTTCGACAGTCAAGCCGAGGAGCTCGATTCGATTCGGTATCTAGCCACCCACCTACGAGGGTTGCATGTGGCACAAGGCCGAGTTTAACGTGGATTTCCCGAGCCCGTAGGTTCGGCCAAAAAAGGCCCGTAGAACCCGTATAAACGGGATCGGGTTGGTCAACCTCCCCGAACGAGACTCTGCCCTTCGGCGGAGCCTCGTCAGAGTTCCTCTCTGCTCAGAGGCAGAGAGTTCGACCGTCCACCCGAGAAGCTCGGCTCGATTCGGTATCTAGCCACCTCACACGACGGTTGCATGTGGCACAAGGCCGGGTTTAACGTGGGTTTCCCGAGTCCGTAGGCCCGGCCAAAAAATGCCCGTAGAACCCGTATAAACGGGATCGGGTGGGCCATTCTCCCCGAACGAGACTCTGCCCTTCGGCGGAGCCTCGTCCGGGTTCCTCTCTGCTCAGAGGCAGAGAGTTCGACCGTCAAGCCGAGAAGCTCGGCTCGATTCGACCCTCTCTCTTCAGAGACGTAGTATGTATAGTGTTAGGAAGAGTTCATTCTGTAGTTATAGGTAAGGACCCATGCCAACATATCAATTCGGTATTTAGTCTCCTTCGAAGTAGTCCCTTTCGGAAGCCACGCACTTTATTCCATTGATGGAGAATTCTTGGAATTCCTTTTTTTTCGGTTAGGGAACAACTGTCTTATTGGATTCTCTTGGATTTTATCGACGTCTTGAACTTGTGTTTCTTTCAAGTAGGATTTGATATTTGGAAAGAGGAACGAGATCTGGGGAATATCTTGGTTATCGGACGTGGGGAATATTTTGTTTAGCCCAAAACTGCGTCATATTTCAATGTCAGTCTGTGCCAAGCGGCTAAACTCTGCGTACTTTATATCCGTTACCATAGCAACATTCCCGATACTTTTTGATCAAATTTCGTACGCACACACACACATAGATACAATACGTAGACACACTTACACACATACATACCCATATATATGTCTGTGATTTCTATAAAACAAAAATTGTTTTAAACTGTAAAAAAAAAAAAAAAAAAAACGATTTACACATCTTAATTTTATTCAAATAAGGCAAAATATATGATATGCAGAGGGAAAAAGTCCGACATACCTAAATCAAGTAAGCACAAATATTTAAATATCTAAGAAGTGTTTTAACGTAAGGCTGAAAGTGCAAAAGCGAAATCAGAAGGCGCATTGGGATTGAGAAAGATGCCTTTCAAAAGCTATACAAAGTATTAAGAAACAAAAAAGAGTACTTAAACTGTTATGTAATATCGGTCATCATGTATGGCAGTCAATGTTGGACAATCTAATCCCAGAAGTGACGTAGGGCAACAGAAATATGGTTTTACAGAACGATGCTGAAAATACAATGGATCATGTGACAATGGCAAAATTTTAGAGAATATGAAAAACCAAAAAAGAACATTTCTACTTGATGTCAGAAAGTTACAGTTGAAATTTCTAGGTGATATAATGAGGAAAGAGGGCTTAGAAATTTTGACACTCACAAGACAAATTAAAGGCAACAGGGACAGATGAAAGCAATGCATAACAACGTTGTATTAATGGATATCAGAAGAGGGATTAGGAGATTAGTGAAAAGACAAAATTTGGTAAGAGTTACAAAGGACAGGAAATTGTGGAGAGCCATGAAGCCCACGTCCTGAATGGACACAGCACAGAGAAGAAGAACGAGTGTGTGTATATGGTTGGCAGCACAGGGATTAAGAGAGATAGCAACAAAAAAAAAGCAACATATATAAAGAACTACAAAGGAGAGGAAATTGTGGAGAGCTGTGATTGCCAACTTGCTCAAGGGACACGTAAAAAAAGATTATAATGAAGATTTATGGTGAATTCTCGGAGAATAAAAACAATATCAATTTGACTTGGTTTTTGTGATTTTATTTAAATGGATTAAGTCGTAATCCCTATCTAGCAAAGATGGTACACTATCATGTCTATTTTTACATTCGTTTAGTGATAGAGTAGACCAGTTAGATTTGATGACGATCAATTGCCTTCTCAGGGTATGTACAGAAACGGCACATTGTATCTATGCATCTTACAGTCCCGCTGCAGTCCTGGATATGCATCTGGCAGCAAGGCCTCTGATCGGGAAAATGGCGGTTTTTAAGACCGTTAAACCACCTTTTAATTAATGTTATTCTCAGGTCCATCCTATCAGGGGTTAGGATCTCAGCTAATAGTGAACCCCAACCCCTATAAATGTGGAAAAAATACATTTTTAGAGTAAAAATACTAGCAATAAATTTTTATATAAAATAATTAACTACGATATATATTTATAGCAAAAGTATCAAACAATACATTTTAAACGAGAATAACCAACAATGAATTTATAACAGTTTTGTAAAGTAGTTTTCCCAGTGGAGGCTTGTATTTCAATAAGTCGGTCCTAAAAGGGTCCAACGTACAAAACGGTAGGAATTTGCAATAATAATTAATGACGCAGCAATCTAGTTGTGGTGGCTGATACTTCAATGTCCGACATCGACTGACTCACTCAACTCCACTGAGCCCAACTAACGACCGCTACTACTACTACTACTTATTATGTGTGGGAGAGTCTATTACAATAGAATAGGTAATGTTCTAGTATAACAATAACAAAGCTAGCAGCATACCCCGGTGTTGCCCGTCCTTGATTCAAAAATCAATACAGCAATCGCTATCACTTGACTTAGAATATTTTTGCCCTTCCTTGCCTTTAAAGGAGTGCCCTTTGCCGTGCTGATGTTGCTACATGCCTTACTTCTTGCCTATCTCACACTGTGAATTTTTTCTAAGCTCTATACTAAACATTGAATCTGTTACGAAAAAAGAACTAAACAAAATGAACACAAAACGATCAGCTTTAAAAAAGGACTCGTAACGGAAAAAAAAAAACGAATGAAAAAAGAATGTTAAAAAATACTTTTTCATACTCAACCCAATTCTGCGGAATCAGAATCAACGTTGAGTTTAAGCAAGCGAATAAGCCAATTGGAGTAAAGTGCCATGCAGATTTAAATTTTTCCCACTTGTGACGAATGCAGCTATCGATTTTTTTTGCATGTTAGCATGCTAGTTAACGTTCGTGTCAGTCAGCTGTTGGCTCTCAGGCTGGCCAATAGAATCTTCCTGCCTATTCGTGCCAGCCAGCTATAGACTCTCACTATGGCCAGCAGAAAATAGCCGCAAACTACATGAAAACTGCCGTAGAAGCATGAAAAAGTCGATTATTTCCACTATCGATGGAAGTTGGGAAATGCAAAGTCGGTCTTGGCTTTCACGCTAACTTTTGGTGCAAATCTGTCGCAAATTTCGGCCGTGCATTCGTTACACACACACACACACACACACACACACACACACACACACACACACGCGCGCATCCTACATTTTATAGATAGAGATGACCAACAATTTATTTTATCAAACTATTTAAATTTCGGCATAAAGAAGTTGGTATACCACCAAACAAAATCAAACGACTAAAGTAAAAGGACTCTTTCAGGATATTAAACCATGTAATATTCTACAAATTCTTAAAGAAATGAAACTGTATTCCAAAATATAACTTAAAACACACATATCACCAGATTCTTGTAATTATGTCCGCACATGCATGCATATGCACAAAAGCTGCGTATTACGTACCATGTATTCAATTATGAAAGCATAATAACCTATATCGTATTTTTATTACTTCAAATCTCCCAAGAAAATTAAAAGAAAAAAAAACCTATCGCTACTCTATGGCGATTTTAAACGAGCTTGTGAAAATGGTTGGTACAACAAGAATTAGTCGAGATAGCGAAAAGACAGAATGGCATCTAGGGAAAGAATGTAGAAGAAAAATTTAATTAAAGCTCAGTTATAATTTAATGGATCAGCCATCGCTTTATGTCTACCGCATATACTCGTGTAAAAGTCGACTTCATACGACCCCTGATTTTTTTTTTTGGCATAAATTTTAAACACGCCAGAAAAATTACCTGTGTATAGTGCAAACGATCACCGAAAATGCAAGATTTTTAAACTCATCAAAAAATTACCGGTGTATAATGCGACCCCCCCCTATTTTGGGCGTAAATAGCTGATCATAAAAACACGATCTATACTCAAGCATATACGATACTTCTTATTTTCAAAGATATCTCATATTCATTTAAATTATTACAATATTTCATTTAACACATACGTATACATTAGATTTACACACCGAATATATCTAATAAATGTAACATATACGGAGCATTAAAATTAAAAACACACACGCAGATATATATATATATATATATATATATATATATATATATAT